TTCCCCAGGGAGGCTCAACCCCCCTTTTCGGAGAATTTCCCCATTGGCTACTTTGGGCGCCCTGATCATGACCCTTACCCGGCCCTGGATTGACAAGGTCCGAATGTCCCTGGCATCAGGTGCCACCACACACCCCTTCCAGGAAGCCGACCTCGAGGAGCTGCGGGCTATCCTAGGACCGAGGCACCTCCATGAACGATGCCCAGGACAACCCTTCCTCCTGGACTTAGTGTCGCACTTGGCATCCCTTTCAGGTGACCCTGATTGGGAGTTCCCCCTAACACTGAAAGAGGGGGTCCCCTTGGGAGTCTCGGACCCTACCTTGACCTCCCCGGGAGTTTGGCCCACTAAGGAGGAGCTTAAGGGAGAAGCCTGGCTGGGGGAAGATCCCCCCCCGCCAGTGGCTCATGATAACTACCCAACGGCTGAACTCTTTGCCAAGGAAATCGAATCAACCTTTTACGAGGAACGAGCCTTGGACATGGTGGACGGGCCCTTCACTCGCTCCGAGGCGGCAGAGAGGTGCCGCTGCAAACCGGAGGAACTTTGCCCGGGCCCCCTTGCAGGGATTGATGAGTCGGACAAGATCAGGACGATCTATGATGGCTCAAAAGGGGGAGCAAACGCACACATCCAGGCTCACACGGAGGAGAAGACCACCGCACCGATGGTTGGAGACTGCCTCCATGCCATCCACTGGCTCAGGACAGCGGCGGACCATCCTCATCTACTCCGAGCCCCATCCTCGGGCACTGATGAGGAACCTCGGGATGTTCACCAGCCGGTGCAGGGGCAGTCCCCAGGTGCCGAGGGCCCTGAGAGGGACCCCCACAGCACCAGCCTGCCCCCAGGTGCCGAGGGCCCTGATAGGGGCAGGCGGATGATGGAGACCTCCGGCGGCCTGGACGTCTCTCCGCGGTCAACACCCTCAGGGAAGGGGCCACTCCCAGGTGCCGAGGGCCCTGATAGGAGGGCCCCATTCCCCCCAACCCCCCCAGGCACGGAACGCCCTGGGGGGAGCAGGGGGGAACCCCTGACGTGGCAGCCGCCGACACAGGGGGAAACCTTCATCATCCTCAAGGCGGATGTCACCAAGGCCCACAGGCGCATAAAAGTGCTCCAGAAAGACTGGAAATACCAGGTGGCCTGCATCCAGAACCGGTGGTGGGTCAATAGAGTGGGCACGTACGGCATGGCCTCGGCACAACTGTACTGGGGAAGAAAGGCATCCTTGGTGCTCAGACTCTTGTACTACATCTTCCCTCAGGTGGACTGGCACTTAGTTTTTGTGGACGACTACTGCTGGGTCCTCAGATGCAGCAGGGCGGACTGGGACGCCACAGCCATCCTGGCCACTCTTCTGGCGCTGGGAGTCCCGCTTTCTTGGAAGAAGACGGCGCTCTCCCCGGTCAATACCTGGTTGGGATTCGTGGTGGACCCAATCACGCCCTGTGTGCTGCTGGCTCCAGTCAAGCACGTCATAATCCTGGCCACTCTCAAACGGCTGGCCCAGGGGGACATCTTTACCAGCAAGGAGGTGGAACAAGCCCTGGGCCGGATTCAATGGGCTACTTCGGCGTGTCCATTGACGAAACCTTTCCTCCAGCCCTTTTGGAGCTGGAAGAAGGCCTGCACCACTTCGGGCAGGCCACCGAAGCTGGTTCGTGCTCTGGCCATCCTTCTGGGGAAGCTCTTCAACCAGAGGTTCCCACTGGCATCTCCATTTGCTCCCACACTTCCATGGACGGGGGCATCTGATGCGGGAGCTGGCAAACAGGCGGACCATGCATGGGTTGGTGGTTGGTGCTCGGACGTGCCCAACCCCGACAAGTCCCGAGTGAAGTGGTTCCAACACAGAATCACACCGGAGGGCGAGCCGTGGGCCTTCACTACTGGGGACCCGCAGCGGGCGATAGCGGCCTTGGAGCTCTTCGGCCTCCTCCTTTTGGTGAGGGCTGTTCTGCTTTGTGCAGCCGGCTCGGCTTCTCACACTAGGATTCTGGTTGCTAGTGATAACCAGGGAAACGTTTTCTCCCTGCTTAACGATTCCACTCGCAGGATGCCCAATGCGGCCATCCTCATGGAAATTGTGTTAACACTGCATGACCACCAGGTCATGTTAGGACCGTCGCATGTGAAGCGCGACTTTAACACATGGGCGGATGAACTTACTCATCCGGACCCGCAATTTCCGACTGAGAACCGGGTCTTCCCCTCAGTCGAAAGCGAATTGATCAAGCTGATCTTCGCTACTTTCCTTCCTCACCCATGATGCCGGGAGGGCATCCGGTGAGGTGGGAGGATTCCTCCCTCGCTGTGGGAGTGGCATCAATTCTACTCCCATCAGCTGCTGAGGGGAGCTGCCCAGTGGAGCTGGGCAATCCTCCCATTTTGGCACTAATCCTTATGCGGCGTAAAGGATGCACCGTTTCGCGATTAAGGTACCAGTAGCACCAATGTGGTGCTTTGAAGAGTCAGGTCAATACTCGTGGGTATGTGATTTCCCTTTGTTTTAATGGTGGGTTGACTGCTCGTTCGATTCCTTCCCCTCTGGCCATCGCACGGTTCATGCGGCGATGGATGCCCCCCCCCAGAGGGCCGACGGGCAGCCGAGAAAATCAAGGACATGGTCAAATGAAACTCGCACCCTGAGTCGAATTTGGTTTGTTAATGCAAAGCTCCTAGCGAGAGTGCCATTGCCATGACGAGTTTTGACTTCGTCCGAACAGTGATCATTTTGAGGGATTTGCACAGTGACTTTGGGGGCGGGCTTCCCTTTGATCCACGAAAATTCCATTTGGGTCTTTTTTTTGAGGGTACCTTTTGGGGGGTGTTCAAGGGAAACCAAAAGGAAAGCCTACCATGTTGGGGACTCCCCTGCAAAAAGACACCCGTTTGGGTATGTTCGCACCACCCAAGACACCATGGGAATCCATTGTTTGTTGGTATTTACATTGGGGATCATATCATTCTAGGGTTTCTGAACGGTGGTGCCTAAGAGGATTTCGTCCATCCACAGGGGCACCACCCCCAACTTCTTTAGGTTTCCCTTTAAACAAACCCTCAAACTCATTCCCTGAGTTTCTGGACTTTTGCCACGTTTAGAGGACCAATTTAATCTGGGTGAATTATAACGACCTCACACGACCTCACCCCAAATGTTTTTTCCCAAACAGCTGAAAGCTTTGGGGTCTCAGTCCAGATAGGCTCCGGGGTGGTTCGGGGCGGCTCTGAGGTAAGGTTCCACGAGGGTTCCACGAGGGTTCCACCAGAATACCAGGGATCCACGAGGGTTCCACGAGGTTCTGCGAGGGCTGCGTAGTGGTGCGAGCACCAAAAGGAGCACCACATGCTGTTGGGGATGTCACCTGAGCTTATTTTTCTTTGTGGGGAATAGCCCCCCAACCACCTTATTTCAGGTTGGTGAAATAATTCCCCAACAGCTGAAAGCTTTGGGGTCTCAGCCCAGATAGGCTCCGGGCTGGTTCGGGGCGACCCTGAGCTAAGGGTTCCACCATCTGCGAGGTTTCCACCAGGGTCCCACCACATTCTGCAAGGGCTGCGGGGTGGTCCGGGTGGTTTGAGGTAAGGTTCAACGGTCCGGGCTGGTTTGAGGAAGGTTCCACAACAGTTCCACAAGGGTTCCACCAGGGTTCCACCAGGGTTCCACCAGGGTTCCACCAGGGTTCCACCAGGGTTCCACCAGGGTTCCACCAGGGTTCCAGGTAAGGTTTCACGAGGGTTGCACCAGGGCTGCAGGGTGGTTCCAGCAAGTCCGGGCTGGTTTGAGGAAGGTTTCCCTTGTGGCTGGTGAAACTCTGACTGGCTGGTTTGAGGTAAGATTCCATTTGGGTTCCACCAGAATTCCACCAGGTTTTGCAAGGTAAGGTTCCATGAAGGTTCCAGCACGGTTCTAGTTCTCCACGAGGGCTGCGTCCGGAGTGGTTTGAGGTACGGTTCTCGGAGGGTTTCAGGGTCCCACGAGATTCTGCGAGGGCTGTGGGCCCTGAAGTTTCACAGGGTTCCACAAAGTTCTGCAACGCTTCCACACGGGTTCCACAAGGCTCCACAATGTTCCACCAAGGGTTCCAGAAATGTTCTGCAAGGTTCCGTGGTTTGCCCTGGAGGGAAGCAGTGTGTCGTGCGCCCATCGTCTGAAAGGGCGGAGCACTAAGCAAAACCGAAATCAATGGCTTTTAGCACACTTTCACTGTTGTTGGCTTTGTGGCAAATCAGATCACGTCGCTGCGGGACTCACGGAGCAGCAGAGTATATGCTTGGCATTGCTGCTTCCAAGAATTCCACGAGGCTGCGAGGGCTATGAGGTAAGGTTCCAAAAACATTCCACAAGGTTGCCACCAGGTTCTGCAAAAGCTATGGGGCAGCCCTGAGGAAAGGTTCCAACAAAGTTTCACGCTGAGCTCCACGAAAGTTGCATGAGAACGGTTTGCAAGGTTCACCGGGCCTAGGTCGGGGCCCGATTGCACTGTCGGGGCCCGATTGCACCGCTTGGGCCCGATCGGCCGTCAACTGTACCAAGCTGGCATCGATACAGTTGCAATCCGCATGCTAAGGAAAACCGGCGTTGAGCTATAATATGGGTGGCTGGGGGCCACGGGACGATCGGGCCCCGATTGCACCGTCGGGCCCCGAGCGGGCCCAGATTGCACTGTCGGGCCCCGATTGCACCGTCGGGCCCCGATCAGGGCGAGATCGCGCTGTCACTCGTAGCTTTGCTTTAGTTACAAGGCGGCATCCTCAGCAACACCGGCGGTAAGGATGGTCCCGGGGCGTTCCGCGGGGATTCTGGGAGGGTGTGGTGCTGTTGGGGATATCGCCCGAGCTTAAATTTGTAATTCACTCAGATTTAGTGCTAAATAAACAGTGGGCACTTGGTTTTGGCCAATCCACTCGATGGGAAGAGGGCAAAAAGGGTACCTTCAAAAAACAAGCCCCCGGTTGCAGCTGGTTTCCCCTTTCAGGAAGGGGCGGATTTGTAGGTTTGGATCTCCGTGGACATTGAGTTCAACGACGCGGATATCTTGTCGGAGGTGCCTCAGGTTTTGCTCTGGGTGGCCGCAGGATTTTGGCAGCACACGGCCGAAGTGCTGAGGATAATGTTTGTAGGTTTTTAAGTTTCATTCATCCAGGAAATTTGGAAACGTTCGGGTGTTCTGACGTTTTTTTTCGTTTCAGGCGTTTCGTGTTGGATTTGCAGCGTTTGCGCAATTTCTGCCGGCGATTTGCAGCCTTTGGCTTGGATTGGTGGTTTGGGGATTTTTGTTGAACCCCTTTTGCTTGTGGTAAACTTTGGTTGTTTCTCCCTTTTGCTTTGATTTGTCTCCCATTTTCCTCCCTTTTTCCTCCCTTTTTCCAGAATTGACCGGATCTCACCTTTTGGTTTCCCGATGTTGGGTTCCCGCTGCTTCGTGCGGTAGGGGAGCCAAGAAGCCGGGGATCTCCGAATTTGCCGATATGAAGAGGGAGCTACGGTGGACGAAATCCGTTCGCACCAAGTTGAAACCACTGCAAACCACTTTTTGTTGGTATTTACGTTGGGGAATCGAATCATTCCAGGGTTTCTTAGGTGGTGCGAAATGGATTTCGTCCATCCACAGTATGTGCTACCAGGAGGTCTGAGACTGTAAGGACATGGTAGCTAGCCCAGCTAGGTGCCCTGTTGAACTTTTTTGGTGGGGAGGGTTGCCCTACTAAAATAGACTGCAGAAAAAAGGGAACCCTTATTCTAGCCTCTCTACCGGGGGAAATAGGTTGTTATTTCCCTGCCTTCTTTGGGGGGCAACTGTGTGTCCTACGCCTGTGTCCTACGCTTGGGTGAGTTAAAGGGCGGCCCAGTGACTGCTGGCTAACCTGTGGAACTGTTTGTCTCACGGACCGAAAAAGTAAGGGATGGATCTATAGGCCCGCTTCTCGATTTGAGATCATTAGGACAGTTCCTCATTTTGCGTATCATCCCCATTTGTCCAGAGACCCTGCTATGATGTCAGCGTAGCTGCACGGAAACAAACGACTACGTTTAGAACTCCGATCGCTCAGTGTGCAGCGCATTCGCCCAGTTGACTTCGCTCGGCCGGCTCTCCGCAGACGTGAGCGAAACCACATCCAGCACCTAATGGAAGAACCCGTTTTTTTTCGGGGTTCACGACGCTGTACTGCAACTCTGGGGAAAGAAGGCAGAATGGAAAAGCTTGGGAACCTGCTTGACTGCTGAGCTGCTGGGCCTTGCCAGAAAACCATTCAACTCACATGCAGACATGGATGTGTTGTCGTTTTTTTTGGTTAGGGCTACCCAAAAAATGGTTCTATTTTCATGCTCTTCAGAACCAGAGCATGGGGTACCAAGACACACCCATATCCTTTGTCAGATCCTTAAAAAGATCCACCCAGACGCTCCAATTCGATCAATTCAGGGCCCTCCAAACAGTCAGGCTTTGCTGGACTGCTATTGGGTTGGATCTTTAGACTTTCAGTTTCATGGAAATCAAGGCGTTTTCCACTAAACCCCAAACAAGTTAAACTTTTTGCAGGGGTTAACAGCAACCAAGTTTGAGACCCCCAAACAATCCCGAGCTGTCTAATGCTTCGGGCTCGGGTCTTCCATGGAAAGGTTTGAGGAGGCCTTTGGGCAGGGAATTAATTCGCAGGCGGATCCCGGCTTCATCGTGGTGGAGAACCTCTTCTGCTCTTTCTTCCTCGTGGAGCTGATTTTGAGATTCTCCATGTACGTCAGGAGGGCTTGGCAAAAAACATGTCTCACTCCCTCAAGTCCTGGACTTGAAACAGTTTTTTTGGAGGACCAGTTTGATGGTAAACAACAAGTAGGTCCTGCGTCCCTTGGCTGAAATGAAGATTTGTTTTGTTTTCGTTTGTTGGTTTAAAGATAATTTATCACTGTGGGAAATATATTGTTGTTTCTTCCATGGGACTTAACCAAATGGATTTTCGGAGACCATTTTGATGGTAAATAAACAGTTTGGACTTGTTTTGGCCAAAATGAAAATGTTTGGACTTGTTTTGGCCAATCCACTCAGGAAGTGAGATTATGACTGGCCAGACCCTGGCCTCTGAATGGAGCTGTGCAAAAGTTGTTGAGACTTTATCAGGTTCTTTGGGTGCCATGGTTGGGCATGCTGATCTACAGCACCATGCAGGGTCATGCTGCCGGTAGGTGTGCAGCACTGAGCCGCATGGCTTCACAGCTTGCGAATGTTGAGTGCCAGCCATGGCAGTTATATTGCTTTAGAACTATATAAGGCAAGCAATTATCTATGTTGCCCAGATTTTGCTGTCTTTTGTGAGGGTACCTGGGCCCTCAACTCGCCATGAAAGTCGCGTTTTGCTCTTGTTTTTATGGGTAGCTTGGGTCCAAGTAGACATTTTTGTTGTTCGGGTTCACAAAAAATAGAAACAGAAACCGGCAGGAGACTATATAAATATATATGTATCCGTTTTGGGGGGTCCCCCAACAGAAAGGACATATTTCCAGTTTGGTGTTTTGTAAAAGGCCCGGGGTTCAGAGGTTGGGGTAGACCCGGAGGACCTGGTATGCGCTCACAGATCCCTGGTACATGCCGCTCGGAATTGGCCGCCAGGGACAAAAAGTGGGGGGAGACCGTCCCAACGAAGCTTTAGCGAAGAAGGTACCGTCTCAGTTGCAAGCAGTGGGTTGGTGCCCTTCGTCACTTTTTTTTGGGGGAAACCAACAAACAACAAACAAAAAGGATGCCGATTCTAACAACTTTGTTTGTTTCCCCTTTTCTTAGTTGTTCAGTGGCACCCTTTTTCCTTTTTTTTGTGGCTGCCCCACTAAAATGGTCTTCCCCAAAAAAGGGTTCCCTTTTTTCCAGGGTCACTGAACAACTGAGTTTAAAGTCAACCAACAAAAGGATGCCGATTCGTTTCGTTTTTCCCCCGGCCACTGGGCGTCTGGGCACCAAGGCACCTCTTTTTCCCTTCAGGAGAGGTACCTGGACTTTCTCGGGATACATGGGTTTCTGTCTATTCCTAGGATTCCCCCCACCCCCCCAACAAAAAAGTTGTGTGGGTTAAGTCCTTTTCGTGCCCCTTGGAAGCCATCAAAAGAGGGTGCCAACTCAAAAGAAACCCAACCAGACGAAACCGAAAATGTCCGAGACCCCGAGAGGGTTCCTTTCTAAGCAGCACTTGGACAATTTTTTTTGACCCCCAGAACGCCATCCCCACAGGAGGCAGGGGCCCTTTGCTTTACTTTTGGCTGTTGGGGGGGTACCGCGTATAGTATCTTTTGACGGGGGGGGGGGGGGCAGCATGTTGGGCGTTGGCAAATTCCAGCCGCAAGCTCGAAAAAGCGAGGGATCTATAGATCTACTCTGAAGGGATCTTGTTGTTTGCCACTAAAATGGTCTTCCCAGAGGCTCCCGATGTATTTAGGGCCCTCAAGACAGCCAGGTTTTGAGACCCCCAAACACCTCCTTTGGGTGTCTAATGCTTCGGGGTCGGGTCTTCCATTAAAAGCCGAAGCCGATGGGAGCCTCTGGGTTCCCAAAAAAAGTTCTTAAGGCCCACAAACTCCAGAGAAGGTGTCAAAGTGTTGACTCTTCAGCCCCACGGCATGCGCGTTACGACCCCTTGAAGCATCACCCCACCAATCTTGACTAGGCCCCCCAGTGGCCTTTTACCCTGTAAGGTAGGGCTTCCCTACCAAGATGGACTACAGAAAAAGGGTGCCCGTATTCTGGCCTTTCTACTGGAGGACCTGTTGAAATGGCCGAGAAAAGGCGATGTTCAACTCACCCCGCACAAAGAACATGTATCAAAAGCAAACGGTATAAGGACACTTTAGCGGCGGGTCGCGTTGTGAGTCTCTCAAGCCGACGCTGGAATGCAGCGCCCGATCCCCGCACCTCTCTATTCAGATAAAAATCCAAAAGACAAAGAAAGCAAATCTTATCCTCCTCCCCCCCAAAACCGAGAAAAAGAAAGCCCCTTCCCCAAATCCACAAAACTAAAGGGAACAAATCCGAAGCCCCCGCCCCCCCTCCCTCCCCCAAATCCCCCCCTTCTTCCCGAAACAAAAGAAACAATAAAAGCACCCCTCCCCCAAAAAGACGAATAAGCACCCCCTGTTCTTCCCGAAACAAAGGAAACAACAAAGCGGTCCGAGAGGTTTGACGTGTTTCTGGCCACCCTGATGATCTTCGAGACCTGGATGGTGCCCCTGGCTGCGGCGATGACGCAGGGCAATCAGGACAGCTCCTCGCCCGCTTCCTTTCAGATCGGGAGATCTCGGGAGTGCACAAGCCGGGCGCATCTTTTTGTTTTGGAGGGGTGCCAGTCGAAGTGGCCAAATGCTGTGAATCCACGTGCATTTTGTTTGCAACTTGCTGGACAGCGGGTGTATTCAGACAATTGGTTTGTTGCACTGATCGCGGCTTTTTTTTAGATCGGGAGATCAGGAGTGCACGTGAAGCCGGGCGTGTTTTTGCTTTTGGAGGTACCACCTTTTGGTGAGTTTTAAAGGGAGCACTATTTGTTTTTAGGAGGGTACCACCTTTTTGGGTTGGTTTCAAAGGGAAACCGAAAGGACACCCACTATTAAATTTATTAAATTTTATGTTATTGGTTTTTGTTGGGGGGATTCCTGTTTTATGACCCACCCATTTTGGCTGTCCCAAAGGAGACCACCACGGGCAAGGGAGTTGCTTCTTGATTTTTCCATCCGTGGCACTTGGGGGGAAACACCTCAGCGCCAACTTGGGCGTTCGAAACTATGCTTGCAGCTTCTGAGTCCCTGCTGGGTCCCATAGCCAGGTGCCCTTTTTCAGCCCGTTTCTTTTTTGGTTGGGAGGGTTCCCCTAAAATAGACCACAGAAAAAGGGGTACCCCCTGGAGGCCCAATTGATACAGAAATTTGTGCTCGAATGTTTTTGGCGAAAACAGTGCCTGAAACGTTTCTGGGAGCCAGCGACTTGGCGCTAGTGTAGTGGCCAGAATTTGGGCAGTTGTTCAAATTGCGCTCGGTTGCGCGGATTTGCGCCCGAGTTGCGCGAAATTGCGCCCGAAGTTGCGCCGAATTGCGCTCGAAACGCGGTGCGCATTTCAGGCCAAGCTGTTTTCAAAACTGTTCGTTTCCAATCGGGCAGAAAAAAGCGTTCGAACTCCGAAAATGCAATTGAGCACTTTTTTCTGTATCAATTGGGCCTCCAGGCCTTATTCTAACCTCTCTACTGGAGGACCTAGCCTGAGTTCTTGGACTTGAAACTTGTTGGGAAGCGTTCAGACTTGTTGCCCATCCACTTAGTGAGACTTGCAGCATGCAGGCAGGTTGAAGATTCAAGCAAGGGTGGCCAACCACTTTGATGGACACCAACCGGACATCAACCCCTTACAAGCCCCCATGCCAGCCCTTATGTTTTCTTAAGGTTGTTATGAGGTGGTCCCTAGGTTGTATCCCCAAGCCGGTGATTCCCTGAGAACCAGCAGGTTAACTCTGTTTGTCTTGAAGGGCAAACCCAATTTCTCAGTGGCACCCCAATTTCGATCCAAAGCCAAAAAACAAGTTCCACTTCTCCTGAGTGGGTGTGTCTTAAAATAGGGACCCCCCAACGACACGAAAAAGGCCGTTTTCGCTTTGTTTCCCTTTGAAGCCACCCCCAAAAACCCCCCCCGCACAAAATAAGAAACGCTCCCTTCTGTTCTTGGTACGTAAACACACACACACACACATATATATATATATATATGCACATATCTAATGGGTGTGTCTTGTTCTGAGGGTATCCTTTTTCATTGGCCCTAAACCACCAGACCAAGGGGAGGCCACCGTTTTATGGGGCTCCAAATGTTATTAGGTCCCCCTAGTAGTGCCCTTTTCCCCCTTTTTGTGGGAGGGTTCCCCTACCAAAACAGACTACAGAAAATAGTTGGTGCCCTGATTCTAACCTCTCTGCTGAAGGACCTAGATAAGATGCTGAGCAATTAGAACAGGGAGGTGGGAGAGAACACCGAATTGAGCGAGCTATTTGCCCATGTTTCATGGGTTTCGAGAGTTGGGGCCGCTTTTTGGGTTAGAAGACGACCCATGCCCAGCTCCGGGGCCCTGTTTTTGCCTGCGGCCTCGCTTGAGGCATCACCGGGGGCGCCTCGGTGCTTCGAGTGGCGCGGGTGCTCCGGGTGCTGCGCACCGCACGCATGGCGCGTTTGGTGCGCCTCATGCCGGAGCTGATGATTCTCATCAAAGGAGCGAGTGGTTGGTTTTTCCGAGTGTACCGCCGGGAAGGCCCACCAACGGCATGCACGTATTTGTTGCATGACCCCTTAAAGCATCATCCCACCAGCAACCAATCTTGAAATGGCCGAAGAAAGGCGATGTTCAACTCACCTCACACAAAAAAATATCAAAACACACAGTATCTAGGTCCCCCAGCTAGGTGCCCGTTTTAACACCTTCTTTTGGTTGGGAGGGTTCCGAACCCTACTAAAATTGACAGAAAAAATGGTACCAACTTATGAGGCCCAGGAGTTGTTGGATTTTCCGGGATCGTCGGGAAGGTGTGATTTACCAAAGGAGGGAAGCCACAAGAGGACACAGCATGGTTGGGTTGTGGGGCTAGGTTGCGGGGTTAGGTTGGTGCCAAATGGCTGGCCGGGCGCCCCGCGGGCCCGCTTCCTTTCGCAGGGTGGCGGCGCCGCGCGTTTCCGGGTGATGGCGCTCCGGGCGTAGCCAGGGTGAAACAGGACACAAGAATGGAACATACTGGGGTACTATAACTAGGTTCCCCAGCTAGGTGCCCTTTCACCGTTTCTTTTTTGGGGGAGGGTTCCCCTACTAAAATAGACTACGGGAAAAAGTTGGTAGCCTTATTCTAACCTCTCTACTGGAGGACCTAGATAAGATACTGAGCAATTAGAACAGGGAGGTGGGAGAGAACACTGAATTGAGCGAGCTATTTGCCCATGTTTCATGGGTTTCGAGAGTTGGGGCCGCTTTTTGCAGGGCCAAGCAATGGTTGTACAATTGGGCCGTAGCGCCATGATCAAGGAGCACCTTGCATTCTGCATCACTTCTTTCGAAGTTTTTTAAGGTCTACGACTCTGCAGATTGACGTGGAACCCAAAGCAGGGGTCCTCCCAAACGGAGACTGTGATTGTTTAGGTTCCATGTCAATTTGCAGGACTGTACAACCCCCGAGATGCACTTACGGCCTTTTGACTGATTCCATTGGCTAGATGCAAAAGACGAGAGCCAGCTTAAAGCTTCGGGCTGGCTTGAAAGCGGAATGATGGCATGATTCGGGAAGCCGCCATGTTGTTGGGCGAGCGTGCGCGTAGACGGTGTGAAGAGGTAAGAGCTTTAAGAGCTGCCGGCATGATACATGCCTTTCAATGAGGTGCCAGACCCAAGCACCACAGTGCTTGCGTGTTTATCCCACTAAGCTCAGAATCCTGGTTGAAATGAGTGGCTTAGGCTTCCAGGGCCAGGGGGGAAAACCTACCAACTCGCTGGCAGGAATGATGGTGGCCTGTCGCTCTGTGCTGCCTGACTGATACTATGGCCCTGTATGAAGATGGACAAAGCTTATCAACCAGAAATTCCTGACATCAAATGAGGTCTTTTGGTGGTTTCATGTTGCCCTCAAAAAGACATACTCCATTGTTTCGCTTTCCGGCCGAACCTAGCTGAGGTTCTTCACAAAACTTTAACCCCCACCCAAAAAAAGCAATCCAAACAAAAAGCGCGCAACACCAACCATCTCCCCCAAAGAAAATGAACACAAACAAACAGCGCGCAAGGCCCACCATCTCCCTGCCTGAGGTTCTTCACCTTGGTGCTGCTGCTGCTCTTCACCTACGTCTTCTCGGTGGCCTTCGTCCAGTTCAGCCGCGGCACGGCCTTGGAGAGCCTCAGTCCAAAGCGAACCGACCGGATCTGACCTTTGGGTTTTCGCATTGTGGGTGCCCATTTCTAGTGGAGGTGCCAAAAAGTGCCAAAAGGCGACCACCTTTTAGTTCTGGGTCCCTAAGGGGCAACCGAGTTTAGGAGGTGGTTCTACCATCTAGGGCTGGGTGCCAAAAGGCGACCACCTTTTGGTTCCAGGTCCCTAAGGGGCAACTGAGGAACAAGCTCTTCAGCTCCATGGGCACCGCCATCTGGACGCTGAGCCTTGGAAGCCAAGCCAAGCGCGAACGAAGCGCGCGGAGCCGAGCGCAGCCGAGCGCAGCGCGAGAGTTCTCGTTCCCCAAAAAAACACGGGGAACCAAGCGGGGGGACATGGACATTTGGAGGGGTAGGTGTGTTTTAGTATGTTTTAGTTTGTTTTGTGGTTCGTTTTGCGTTTATTATTTTGTTGTTTCGCTTTTGGGGGGGGACAGGCCAAAGCCCTTGCGGCAAATAGGAAGATCTGGTTAAAAGCAAGAGTCCTTCTTATGGTTTTTGCATCTTGGTCTTCGGGTGGAGTTGGCGTTTTCACTTGACAGACGTGAAGAACGTTAGTTGGGAGGGGGAAGACGTTCCGCGTCTCATGCTTTGGATTTTAGCTTACCGGAGGCGGAACCTATCAGAGGATTTTAGAATTTAGTCACTGGCTGGGATCTTTCGGGCGACGCTGCCGTGAAAGCATGCGCCTAGCAAGCAGAGCGCATGGTTCCTCCATACGCGGCAGCAACTCAATAGACCAAGTTCCAAGCTCGAGGGGTGGCAACCAACAGTGGAACCCACCTTGGCATTTTTCAGGTTGCGACTTGTAGGCTGGTACCCATGGACAAACCCCACCACCTAAGAAACCCTAGAATGCTGCTTCGCGCCACCGCTCAGAAACCCTGTTTTCTGATGCTTCCCCTGTAAACACCAAGGTGCTGCAGGATTTTGTCCACAGAATGAAACTATAGCAAAAAAAAAACCTCAAGACCCCTGAACAGCTTGGCAAGTGGGTTGGTCGAAAACCGGCCCCCTTTCCCGAGGTAAACCATGTTGTAATAGTTTCTCCAGGTCCCACTTTTGCTCTTATGGAATAGTTCAGGGATGGACGGATGGACGGACGGATGGATGGATGGATGGATACCCCCTCCACACCCCCCCCCCCGAATTTAAGAAGCGGCTTAAATAATGATTGGTCAACGCAAAGGATCATGAAGTGCATTCTCACGGACCAGCAGCCCATCGTGGAGGCGGTCGCAGAGGAGCTCGGATCGACGCCCAAGAAGGGCGATCGCGAATTGGGTGTGTCGGTTTTAAGAGCTGGCAGGGACCGACCCAACTTGAGGGCTTGGTTTTAGAAAGGACACCAAGACTCAGCTGTCCAAAGCGAATCGACCTTTTGACCTTTTGGCTTCATTTTTAGTAGAGGTGCCAAAAGGTTGACCTTTTAGTTATGGGTCCTTTGCGCAACTGAGAAGAGGAACCTGCATGGTTTCAAAGTGCAGGATTTTGGTGTATTCGATTTTGGTATGAGAGCACTAAAGATGGGTTGGTTTTGGAGCTAGTACCCTTAGGGGTTGGTTTAGAAGCAGGGTTGTGGGATCACTTGTGGGATCACTCCGGGTTTATCCCCACTTCTGTGATACCCCTTTATATGGGGGGTTAGTCTTTGGGAAGCCGTTTTGTTGCATCACAGAAGTGGTAATTTCCCACAGCCCTGTTTAGAAGGAAACCAAACGAAAGGCCACCTCTTTGGATGGAGACAAACCTATATCTTTGATAAAAAGATCCCGCAAAGTGAAGGGGTTTGGTATCCGTTGAGTTAAAGCCACAATTTTGAGAGGGTGATTTGGGGTACCCATTGTGTTCCACTAACCTGGCAAACATGTATGTTTTTGCTGGGGTCCTGCCTTGTTGCCTTACCTGTTTTTCAAAGTCCATGTGAACCCATGGCCCTGTTGCCTTTAGCTGCTGAAGCAGAATTAAGCAGTGAGTAGAGCAATCAATGCTTGAAAGGCAAATCCGGGTGTGAATCCATGACCATTTTGGACCCGTTGGTGATAGTCTCGCAAGAATAAACCATAACTTATAGTTAGGTCGCCCATCAACCAGGGTCTGCAAATTCAATTCTCTTCGCGGATATTGGCAGGATACGATTTCTCCTTTGCTCAGAAGAAATCACCATACTAGCTCCCCCCAAGGTAGGTTCCTTCAATATGGTGTGTCCTCTACTAAAAGGCACACCAATATTTACTGACTTCCTGAGTTCCTGGACTTCATACTTTTGGGGAAGACCATTCGAAAGGTAAAAAATAAGATATAAATATGTTGATGTATACCATACATACATACATACATACATACATACATACATACATGCATGCATGCATGCATGCATGCATGCATGCATGCATGCATGCATGCATGCATGCATGCATGCCTGTGCTGTCCCTCACTTGTTGTGTAACAGCCCCCTCGGCGAGTCAGAGATCTCAGGGCCGCATTTCCGATGGCATCAGCTTGGTTTGCCGAGAAGCTAAGTAACCAACAAGGCGAACCAACCTGTGCCTTTAGCCCTCTTTCCAACAATCCTGGAAGTGGACAGGTTTCTGGCAGACCATCTTGAATAGGCCCTGTGCGTCCACTTGATTGGAAAACGGGAACCTACTTCATGCAGTCCACCCCCCACCCCCCCAAAACCAACACGGCGGCCTTCCCTAGCCTCTCCTTCTTGCAAGAGGGAGGGAATGACAACGAGCCCAGGTGTTGGGAATGAGCCGTTTGGGGTTTCCTTAACAGGAAACCACCAGTTGGATGGCTCACTGGGATGCCATTCTCCGATTTCTCGTTCCCCGAACCCCCCCCCAATTCAGGGGCTGTGCAACGGAAGTATATAGTGGCTAGTGGCTGCAGAGCGCATTGAACCCCTAAGAGTCGTAATTTGGCAGTAGGAGGCTACGCGGTTGACCCATGTGGCAAGGTTAAGCTAAGTTGCTCAAACGTCCGAGTGTTTGAGTGCCTAGGATACAACCACGGCCTTCAGGAAGTGAACATCCGAGTAGGCAGCGCCCAAAATGCGGCCATTTTACTTTCGGGGGCTCTAGATGGTTTCATTCGGGCTTTAAGGCCCAGTTCATAAACCTTTGGGGCATCTTGCTTGGATGTTCGGACTTTATTACTTTGCCAACTAATGGGTTTTCCATTCAACCACTAAAAGTTAAGCTTTTAGCAGGGGAGCAGAAAGCAACCGAGAAACCATTAACCGTCTGACCAAACGTTCAGCTCGGGTGTTAAAAACCGAAAACGCGCAGGAGAGTTGGATCATGGCCATGATGCTGCTGGTCTTCATCCTTTTCGGGTCCCTGACTGTGATGAATATGCTCTTGGGCGTGTTGGTGGAGGCAAGCCGCAAGCAGCACACCGCACAGAAAACGGCAAGGCGTTCAGCCTCAACCAACTTCACCGGTGTACTTTTCACCTTTTGGCTTCCTCTTGTTCATCCATTTTTGATCTTGGCCCCAAAAGGTTAGCCTTTTATGGCCAGGTCTTTGGACTGTGTGCCAAATCTGGAAATTGACTTTGCCTCGGGGATATTAGTAGGGTACAAGTTCCCCTTTGCTCGGAAGGCATCACCAAAATCGCTCCCTTCCAAGGTACATTCCTTCAACATGATGTGTGATTTTGTTCTGTTCTTTTGCGCAAAGGCTGGCTACGATCAGCTTGTGAAACCTTATGGTTATTTCAAAGAGCGAACTTACACGCCCAAATGGACATACCACACCTGCAGGCCTTATGCAGGCCTTATAACCCATGTATAACCCCACCAATTTGTGGGTACGTCCATTTGGGGTATGCAAGTGTGCCCTTAGATTATTTGGGGGACAAGTCAAAAATAGCCCATGGGCCGGGCTGTTCCTAGCAGCAACTGCTGCGAAGTCGTGGCTGGACAGCTTGATGGGTTCCAAGCCATTTCCGTGCTCAAGCCATAAAGGAACGAGCTGTTCAGAACCAACAATGGCCTTTACACTATCTGAAAGGGTTAGATCATTGCAGTAGCTCATGGCCATTTGCAAGTGCGTCCCCATGTGCAATACCTCAGTTGTTCAAAGCGAATTTTGGTTTTCCAATTTTGGTCCATATTTAGTCATGGCCCCAAAAGGTGATCACCTTTTAGTTCCAGGTCCTTTGGGGCTTCTTGTCAGTGATGTCACCGTCACCATGGGTCTAAAAGGAGCGATGTCCATAGGTCTTGTTTGAGGTTTGCTAGGGGCACACTTGCGTGACATGTACTTGGCGTGCTTCAAAAGTGTAAGTGTGAAAGCACGTATGTTTTGAAATAAAAAAGCATCCACCCCGAACCACTAAGGAGCCAGTCAGGCACTTAGTCCCTCATTTCATGCTTCGGACCTGGAGTCTCCTTCTGACCCGAAATAATAATGGTTCCGTGACCCTTTATTTTGGGTGATGACCCCATTTTTAAAGGGTCAGAAAGGAGACTCCAGCAACTTCCAAGCAGCAGAGGGTGGGTCCGTGGGTCCCTACACCCATGTGCTGACACCCACGTGCTGTCGCGCGCGGCACGCACGCGGGTAGGCCATCAAGACGGTGTCGACCATCGAGCGTGAGCAGCTGGAGGTGGACTTCGCCAAGAAATGCTTGTGGGAGATGATCGACAAAGGACGGCAGGGGAGGGGGGGGAGGGGGGGGAGGGAGGGGAGGGAGGGAGGGAGGGGAGGGGAGGGGAGGGGAGGGGAGGGGAGGGAGGGAGGGAGGGAGAGGGAGGGGAGGGAGGGAGGGGAGGGAGGGGAGGGAGGGGAGGGAGGGGAGGGAGGGAGGGAGGGAGGGGGGAGGGAGGGGGAGGGGGGAGGGAGGGAGGGAGGGAGGGGAGGGAGGGGAGGGAGGGGAGGGAGGGGAGGGAGGGGAGGGAGGGGAGGGAGGGGAGGGAGGGGAGGAGGGGAGGGAGGGGAGGGAGGGAGAGGGAGGGGAGGGAGGGGAGGGAGGGGAGGGAGGGGGGAGGGGAGGGGAGGGAGGGGAGGGGAGGGGAGGGAGGGGCCTTTCTTTTCCACTAACCAGGCAAACAAGATAATTTTTGGCTAGGGTCCTAATTCCAGCCTAGGGAGGGGAGGGAGGGGAGGGGGGAGGGAGCCCAAGCTGGTTGCAAATTAATGGCTTTCCTTGGTTAAAGGCTAAACGTGTAAAATGGAACTTCTCAAAGATCTGCACCCCTGAGAGAACCGAGAACCAACAAAACAAGTCGAGGGGTTCAGTTTTCGATTTGAGGACATGCGGACGAGGACGGCGACAACCGGATTTCCGAGCAGGAGTACCGCAACGTCCTCCGAACCCCGCAGGTGTCCCGGGTTCAGGTGTTAGGTTTGCTGAACAATTTGGGTTTGTCTCAATTAGCTCACTCCCTGAGTTCCTGGACTTTAAGCTTTTGGGGAAGACCATTTTAGTGGTAAACAAAAGGTTGGAACTTTTTTTGTGCCATCCACTCAGCAAGTGAGGTTAGGGTGTTCCTTGTGGTTTTCGTTTACAACCAAACGTGACAACCCAATATCTAGCTTTTGGCCCGTTTGTCAAACCCATGGGGCACTACGTCCTACGCAAAAATCATCAAGGGACTCAGAAAGTCTTCAACAGTTTTTACATGTCTTCTTGAGGAAAACATTCTTGATGGCTCATGAACACCCCCATGAGCTGGTGCATATCAGTTTGCTGGCTACTTGGCTGAGGCTCGATGTTTGGATCTGAGCAGAGGCTCAAGGCCAACCACCTGGACCCTCATGAGGAAAGAGAACACCACAATGCCATAAGGAAATGGGCAAGGACCAATCTTTTGAGGGCAGTCTCGATCCCTGGGTGGTAGCTAAACAGTTTGAACTTGCTTTGGCCAGTCCACTGAGGAAATGATATGTTTGCTGTAAACAAAAGTTTTGCCTGGGCCCGCAAACTACCCACAAAACATTCGGATCCGCCAACCATTGTTTTGGGGCAATCACACATTGTTCAGGAGTAGTTTGAGGGACCCGGGTTATCTGTGTTAGCCAATCCACTCACTCATTTCCTTTCAACATGTGTATATATATATGTATTGATATGTATATACAAAGATACATTTGTTATTATGTACATATATACATATTTTTTATATATACATATATATATATATAGACATATACATATTTCTATATGTATATATACAGATATACATTTGTATGTATATATTGCCGAGAAATGCCGGGGCCCTCAAGCGACACCGGCCTTGTTTTTTGTCCTCGCCGCTTTTGTGGGGAGGCCATGACGGCCTTGACGAGCCTCGGCGTGGATGTGGAGGCCGCCTTGGACTACGGCGCCTCGGACCCCGGAGGTCGGTTGGGGCGGAGTGGGTGCTCTGTGGTTGGGGCGATGGTTTTTCCAGGGAAACCACAAAACACAGCGTAAATAGGGAAAACCCTGGAAACACACCGAAAATAGGGGAAAACCAGGGTTTGGTTGATTGTTGAGTATGTACCACAGACAACCCGAGTCCTACTGCCTGGCTTTGTGGGGTTTTGCGATGTCGGTAAAAACACAAGTCATTGTGACCTGATGGGGGCGAGGTGCGAGTGATAGCCATGAATTGTCCATACTTACTTGCGAATTTTCCTTATTTCAAGTTCTGGGACTAGAATAGTTATTTCAATCGGGTTTCTATTGCGTTTGGCCCTGGACTTGAATTGGCAATTTCTCCTGTCCTTCGCTTGTCAATGTGCGCTCCGCGCTTTTCTTGCTGTTTCTGCGTAGGGATGAGGGAATGAACCTGGGGATTCCCTTATAAAGGAAACCACAAATTAGATGGTGATCTCGGGGTCAGAAACCATGTCTCATTCCTCACGGAGCACCGGCGAGTCTTTCCCCGAAAGAGTTCCAAGGGTTTCCTTTTGGTTTCCAACTTGCACCAAAAAGGGTATCTCAAAAAACAAAATAACACATGATTGCTCTAGGGGTCGATTCCCCATTCTTTTCAGCCATCGTTCTTTTCAAACACCAGCCATTTCCCCGGGTTTTTTGGTGGTTTTCCAGAAAGATTCGGATGCCTGGAAAGAATGGTTGGAAGTTACCCCTAGGCTCTTACATTACCCTCCCTCAAAGGTGAACCTGCACAGTTGCCCCCGTTCCAAAAGGATAGTGCACTTGCAGCTGGGGAAGTTACCCCTAGAAAAGCGGCCGTGATTGAGGGACTAAGCTTTAGTGCATTTTGCTAAGGGACGTTAGGACTTTAACCTTTTGCCAACTAATACGGGTTTTCCGTATTAAACCACTAAAAGTTAATCTTTCAGCAGGGGAGCAGAAAGCAACGGAGGTTTATGCTTGTGGTGTTGGCCCCAAAGGACCTTCAAATTGTCCAGGTCCTTTAGGGGCAAGTGAGATACCTGGACATGGTTCTCCCGGGGCCCTAAAAGCCGCAGTTGGGTCTCCCGTTTTTTTTTTGATTTTTTTTTTGGGGGTGGTGTTGAATGAAAGCAGCCGAGTCAAGCTGCTCTGAGTTTCGTGCGCACTGCTCCCAGTCCCCGGTGGGCGGTGGGCGAGTGTTGCAGCCAGCCTCGGGGAAGCCGCTGGACGTTTCCGAAAGACTTTTGCCTTGCCTTGTGGCTGAAATGACTACGGCGCCGCATTTTTGGTTTGCCCCTGCGGGTTTTTAAAGATAACCTATCACTACTGGGGAAAATACATACATATGTATATATATATATATATGTATAAATAAATACACATATTTTCTGGGGACAAAAGCAAATGGAGGCAAGGCAAGTCTTCATTCCAAAGACCCAGTTTCAGGCCCTTTTCAGGGTGGGTGAAACTGGGTGGACTTCGAAATGGCATACCCTAAATTGGGTATGGGAGAAGCTTACACAGCAAGGATATGGATCGGAGGTTCTCGTCCTTCTTTCAATCTACTAGGGCCACCCATTTTGGGTACTTATTTTGACCCACACCCAAGTTGGGTCTAAAAAGGGCTCCCCCCCCCCTCCCGGAACCTTCCTGCTTCCCAAAGCCTTCCCTGAGATACCTTTGTTGGCCCATTTAAAAATTGAGTCTCCGGTATCTAAGGCCAGTCTATGGCTCATTTGGGAGAAACATGGTCCCAAAGTTCCCCAGAACCAAGGACTCATAGACGTTCTCAAGTCCTTGGAAGCTTCGTAATTTTGGGTGGCTCAAGTATGGGTCGTGACTTTTTCTGGTCAGCACCCCAAGCTTTTTAAGAGGCTGATTCAACGAAACCGGAAAGGGGTACCCGAAACCCCTTTGAACCTCCGTAATGTTGAATCCAAGCCTGTCAGCCCGTCCTATTGGTGGAGGCCTCTCCAAAAGTGGCTTGACGCCCCTCTAAAAGGGGACCCCCCCTTTTACTCAACCAGGGTGATTTATCGGGGGTCAACAGTACGGAGCCCAAAGAGGGATTTTGGCTTTACCTTTTGTTCTACTCCAACCCCTTTTGCAAAGGTTGGGGGTGGTCACAAATCCCCACCTAGATGATGTCCACCAAAGGGTCCCTAATTGAAATTCATAGCAAATGGGAAGTATGCGACGAGACTTCAGGGCCCCTAAGAAAAACAAAACATACCCACATGCTTGACTGCTATTGGGTTGGATCTTTAAACTTTTTGGGAAGTCAAGGGGTTTTCCGTACTAAACCCCCCAACAGTTATACACATGTTGCAGCCGTTTCAGACATTTCAACCGCAACCAAGTCTGTGTTCCGTGCCATGTTTCCCCCTCCCCACAACTTCCATGGCAGAAACATGTCTTCTTCCCCCTGGGGGTTTTGAAGGGCATCGGTTTCACTTCTGGAAATATGCTTAGTTTTTGTCCAGAAAAACGTAAGCAACATGGAGGAACATGAGCGCGCGTCCTGTGGTTTTCCCATTGAACTCCGAAGGGTTGCTCCCATATCACCAAAAGAGGCATTACTTTTTTACCACCAAACCCCTTCAACAAACATGGGTATCCCCAAAAACAAGTCGAGCCACCCATCCGTATATGGGTTGCAATCCACCAGAAACCCTCCCCCGTCGCACTCCGTCGACTCCATCGAGCCCAGCGCATGCCGAGGACGGCTCCTCTTCGAGGACGGCGAGCCGTTGACCTTCGGGGACTTCATGCGGGGGATTCTGACGCTGAGGGGCTCCAACCAGACCACGGTCAAGGACGGCGGTCGAATTTTGCGGCGTTTTTGTTTGTATCTGACCAAGGCAACCAAAGCGAATCGACTCTTGACTGGCCTTTTGGTTTCCCCATATTGGATCAGTGTGACCACCTTGTAGTTCAAGCTCCCTCACAACATGCTGCACTCAATGTTTGTGGTGGAAGTGGAAACGCCTTTGATTTATTTCAATCTGACTCCGAAGTTCGCCTTAGTTTGCCTTAGTCACCTACCTTGTTGTTTTTGTACAACAAAAGGCAATCTTATTTGGGGGCCGTGTGCCACCTTGGAATGGCCAATGTTTAAATTGTTGGGTGTTTGCTAAGTGGTAAGCATCGCCCAGTCAACCTCCATGTAGCCCGCCTGCAAACCCTGAACTAGGCCCGTGGAAGTGAACGTGTTGAGGGGTTCTCAAAACGACTGGCCCCCCCGCTATCACCATATCTTAATTGCTATTGGGTTGGACCTTTAGACTTTAACTGTTTGGTTGAAATCAAGGGGTTTCCACTAAACCCCCAAAAGGTTAAGCTTTTTGCAGGGGGGTCAACAGCAACCAAGATAGAGGACAATTTAGGTATCGTTAATGAACACAGATTTAGCTAACACCCAAACCATCCACTGAGTAAGGAGTGCACAACCATGATTACAACTGGGGGTAACTGGGGTTAGTTCCCAGCTTTTCCAGGGTAAAACCGTGGATACAATCTGCTTGCCAAGTGGATCGATGTGTGTAAGCTAACCCGAATGTCCAGACCTAGCAACGCCATGCAAAAAGCACAGGCCCTACGTACAACCCAGGAACGGTTCTGAAAACCTTCTTTCAAGTAACCGCTTCAAGTTACCCTTAAAAGGGTTGTGGGGGCTGGTGGTTTGGCGTTGGTCCTTGTGGAACGGGAAGCCGGACTCTTGACCCCACCACCGATTCGGCTCCAAAGCATTTGTTAGTGAGGGAGGCCCCCAGTAGCGCCCTTTTACCCTTTTTTGGGGGGAGGGTTCCCCTACTAATCAATAGGCTACAGAGAAAAGTTGGTGCCCTAATTCTAACCTCTCTACTGGAGGACCTAGTGATTCTTGGGCGTTCCGATCCAAGGGTTCTGGAAACCAGGAAGCAAGTCGATCCACCCAAAGCATCCAAGCGATCAGCGCCCCCCCCCCCCCACCCCTGCATTGGAACCAGTTGGTGATTCTACCAGCTTGAAAAAGGCTTATACTGTGGATGAACGAAATCCTGCACCACTTTGAATCGCGCGGACACCGTTTGTTGTTGGCATTTACAAGGATAATCTCATTTTAGGGTTCCTTAGGTGGTGCAGGAATCCGCAGTAGTGTGGCCTGTTTTAGGGCCCCGCCCCAAACTGGCACAACGGTGATCCGTTTGGTTCCGAAGACACTGCAAGAAAGGGTCTCCTCAAAACCAGACTGTCCAACATCTGCTAGAATTCCCTTTACATCTCCGGTTTGAGGCGCTCAATGCGGATTGACCGGATCTGCCCTTTTGGTTTCCCAAGGGTTAGAGGTCCCAAAAGGTCACCCGTCCACATTGGCATGGAACCTCCGAGAAGTTGTTCCATCAGCGCGGAGGGGAGGGTACCCTTTGATTTGTCCAGTTGCCCCTAAGATTTGAAATTCCAGAGGTCTCGGGTAAAAATATGGCGCCAGGACATTGTGGATCTTCGCAAGTTCACCGCGGACGAGTTCTCCCACATCCACGAAGTACTGAGCGGCATTTGCAAGTTCCTCGTGGCAGGCCGGAGATGGGGAACCCCTCGGTTTGTGTTTGGTGTTTTCCTTTGTTTGGCCCATCCCGGAAGAGTGTGTGCGTGTGTGTGTGCGTGTACTTGAGTTTGTTTGTTTGTGTGCTTGTTTGTTTGTTTATTTGTTTGTTTGTTTCTTTCTTTCTTTCTTTATTTCTTTATTTCTTTCTTTCTGTCTTTAATTCTTTCTTTCTTTCTTTCTTTCTTTATTTATTTATTTATTTGTTTGTTTGTTTGTTTGTTTGTTTTTTGGGGTTGAGTTTGGTTGGGTTGGTTGGTTTTGATTTGGTTTGTGTGTTTTGTTTGTCTGTCTGCTGTCTGTCTGTCTGTCTGTCTGTCTGTCTGTCTGTCTGTCTGTCTGTCTGTCTGTCTGTCTGTCTGTCTGCTTGCTTGCTTGCTTGCTTGCTTGCTTGCTTGCTTGCTTGCTTGCTTGCTTGCTTGCTTGCTTGCTTGCTTGCTTGCTTGCTTGCTTGCTTGCTTGCTTGCTTGCTTGCTTGCTTGCTTGCTTGCTTGCTTGCTTGCTTGCTTGCTTGCTTGCTTGCTTGCTTGCTTGCTTGCTTGCTTGCTTGCTTGCTTGCTTGCTTGCTTGCTTGCTTGCTTGCTTGCTTGCTTGCTTGCTTGCTTGCTTGCTTGCTTGCTTGCTTGCTTGCTTGCTTGCTTGCTTGCTTGCTTGCTTGCTTGCTTGCTTGCTTGCTTGCTTGCTTGTTGTGTGTTTTTGGTTGGGAAATTTCCCCATCCTGGGGCAAAGGGACGTCCAACAAAGACTTCCAGCCAGCTGGAGGGTTTCTGACATGGGTGTGGCTCAAAATTCAACAGGAGCGGCAAACCGCGGGTTTTGGTCCATGTTTCCACTTACCTGGGTCCCATGTTGGTTACCGGTTTTTTGAGCCACAGCCACATGTGTCCTTTTTCGCAGGATTGTTTCAGCAGTTAAGGGCAAGCAAATATTTCTGGCCAATCAACTTGGCAGGCCAGTGACACCTGTTTGCCTCATGTGGTGTGTAGACTACAGACCCAGTTCTGTGAGACAGCTATGGAAAGCCTGACCGGGGCACCTGTATAGCGGGATGTTCTTTGGAGGACATGTCTTCGAAACTAAAGCGTGGCATTGTCATTGAAACCCACCAGTGAAGTGCAACCTTTCAGGAAATCCAGTGACCCCTCCCGGAACGGATTGCGTTTTGACTTGCTCTTTGGAAGGTATGCTCAGGTGAGTCAAAAAAGCGGAGCATACTTACTATGAATTCGGGGATCCCAAGGTTTCGGTGAGTCTTCGGTTTGTCACCTGATGGTTTCGTATTCCCTCTTCCCAGGACATGCTGCGTCGCAGCCACAGCCATCGCAGCCGACGGCGCGCACCAGCTGCTTCGCACGATCTGAGGGGAGACCTTCGTTCGTTACGACTTGGTAAACCAAACCTGCTGTGGATGGACAAAATCCTGCACCACCTAAGAAGCCGTGGGATGGTCTGAATCCCTGTAAATACCAACAAACAGTGGTTTCTCATGGTTTCTTAGGTGGTGCAGGATTTCGTCCATCCACAGTAGGTCTGCCAGTAGTCCCATTTTACCTTTTTTGTTGGGAGGGTTCCCCTACTAAAATAGACAGCCGAAAAAAGTTGGTGCCCTATTTCTGACCTCTCCACTGGAGGACCTAGAAACAAAAAGCTAAGAAGGCGTTTCCCTTTATGAATTACCAGCACCAGCCCCCCCATTCAAGTGCTGTCCAAAAAGTTATTGCAATTTAACTGGTGCTGATGGGCACCAGTTCCGGGTAAAAGATCAAAGCCTGAGGGCAGTAGAGTTGAATGGGAGGGTTGGGTTCGGTGCATGGGGGATTTGGGCACAGACCAGACATGGGCACGACGTTGCAGTGTAGCCGACGGTAGGTGCCGGGCTGAAAGGGAAGCTAGGAGGAAGGCAAAGACATCCCCACCCACCTCAAAAAAGGAATTGGGGGAGGGGTGGTCTTTGCAGATTTCCATGTGTGGCAACCCATTTTCTCATGGGGACAGCTGGATCAACAAAAAATGAGATCCGGACCTGTTGAGACGCAGTATCTCTTGGGAATGCTAATGTTGGCATGGTCTTCTTCCACTAGGTCCCCCAGTGCCCTTTTTAACCCTTTCTTTTGGGGAGGGTTCCCAGAATAAAATAGACAACCGAAGAAAAAGTTGGTACCAACTTATTCTAACCGAACCTCTACTGGAGGACCTAGAGATACTGCGTCGCAACAGCTCCGGATCCCAATATTCCGAGCTGATCGAGCTGATCCGCTGATCCATCCCAGTCAGACCACAAGCGATTCGGCCATGAAACGCTGGGCAGCATGTTAGGCTGGGCCTGGATGACAAACGCCTTGTCAGAAATGTGTAGAAAACTGTACAAGTCCGAGCACAGTCAGAGCTTGAATCTGCTGGCTTCAGGGTTAACTTTGTCGACTTCTATGGTATTAAACTCTTTCACCACACCAAGCTTGCCCCTTGCCAAATCCCCCTCTGACCCTCCTAACGTCATTAGCCATAAACTCCATAAAGATTCCATGCATCAGGTTTACCACTGATTCATACCCTCCTGTCACTCATTTGGCGTCGAGATCCGTCCGTTTCTCGTTTTATTTGAAGGACAGAAAAAACCGACGCAGCGGCCCTATGGTTTCCGAATCCCAACCCTGGTATCCCTAAATAGGTGGAACACGATTTGTGCGGTACATGGAACGCACGGGCTGGAGAGTGGGTTTCTTGAGCGACTATGGGGTCAACTCGCCCATCTCATTGGGCTGACTCCTGCAAATTTACAGAACGGCTTCCTCCAAAATGCAGTGAACTTCACTGTTTGGGTTTAGACCATGGTCTAGGTCCCCCAGTAGTGCCCTTTGACCAACTTTTTTGGGGTAGGGTTCCCCTACTGAAATAGACGACCGAGAAAAAAAATAAAGTACCAACTTCTTCTAACCTCTCTACTGGAGGACCTACTGTGGATGGACGAAATCCTGCACCACTTTGAAGCATGGGAAGCCATAATTTGCTGGTTTTTCTCCGAGAATCAGACCATTCCAGGGTTTCTGAACGGTGGTGCCTAAGAGGATTTTGTCCACCCACAGTAGTGTAAGTGGTAAACATGACTGTTCGGTTGCTTTTTCGGGGGGCCGTCTACACCAGTAAACAAAGAACCTTCGGTTTCCTCAGCTCAGTTCGGCATCTGCGCGGTCAACTCTTCGGCGCGCGGCGCGCGCCGCCCACGAATTGGGCAACGGATCTTTAGACTTTAACTTCTTGGTTGAAAACCAGTGGTGTTTTCCGAAAAAGGGAAAACAGAAAGCAAGAACATGGTTAAACTTTGCTGCGGGGTGAAAAAAAAAAGAAGAACAAGTTAAACTTTGCTGGGGTCAAAAAAGACAGGAAAAACGTTAAACTTGCTGGGGGGTCAACAGCAATCAAGATTTCCAAGGTCTTCGCAGCTCCTTTGCTTCCTGGACCGTGACAGAAGAGTCGTCTATGGGCAGTGACCGCACGTGAGCGCGCGGAATTGGGCCGAGGGCGGAAGGCTTTTGATACGCCTTTTTTCTTTTTAAGTGACACCACCAAAATTATAAATGGGCTGAAACAAGCACAACACGTACTGTGGATGGACAAAATCCTGCACCACCCAAGACACCATGGGAAACCATTGTTTGTTGGTATTTACAGGGGATCATATTATTCTAGGGTTTCTTAGGTGGTGCCTAAGAGGATTTCGTCCAGCCACAGTATGGTGTCCGTTTGGGAGATGTCAATTTTTGGTAGGGTACACGTTTGGATACTCCAAATCTATAGCTTTGACTCGGTTTGGGGCCTTGCAGTTTGAGAGCCCTGCCAGCGAGAAAGGTTACCATAATGATAATGGGTGTGCCTTCTGCTTCCATGTTATATGGATCCGGGCAGGGGCCCGGTCCCTTTAAAAGGAAGAGGGTCCAAACCGGGATGGGAGGGGGCCTTAAGGTTGGAAGGAGTTCTTTGGACTTCAGGTTGCAATGGGTGTCACTGGGGAAACGTGGTGAATTTCTTCTCCCTCTGTGCGTAGTGCCTTGAGCGCCCAAGTGCTTTATCTACCTCCATCTATCTACCTCTATCTATTTATCTATCTGGGTTGATGGTTTCATCTACTTATGTTGTTGTGTGTTCAGCAAACATGAAACTAATCATATGTATTTTTGTTTAGCTAGTTAGTTATAGTTAGTTATGTGTTATTTTATCATATGTATGCATAGGCACCTGGATTGCACATCGTGGGTTCATGTTGGATTTCTCCGGACCTGAAAACTCTACACAGCCCAACACTTTGATTATAGCCCCAGAAGGGGAGCTCCTAAGTGGAGCTGTGTGGGCTGTGTGGGTGAATTCCTTACTTCCATTTGCTTGAGACTATGCGTTTGATTTACCCTTGTCGGTTTCAAAGGGACTCAATTTCACTGCTGGGCATGTGTTCTCTCATTTTTTCCAGGGCGCGAGGTTGCAAATGGATCTTGAGGTCGAGGAGCCCCCCCCGAGCTCGGAACCAGCCATTTTGGAGCCGACTTGCTAGCCTCGGGCGCAAAGGAACTTCTGAGTCCATCGAGGTAGAGCCCGCGCCCGAGCATTCAGGGGTGGTTCAAAGGGAACACCGCAAAACTGGCAAAATGGAGCTTGAGACCAAGTCGGGGTGCCTTTTTTTCTTGGGAAAGCGTTGTGGTTGTGCAGGGAAACCTTAAAAGGAACACAACAATTTTGGGGGGACCCCTAAAGCGACACAAATACACTTTTGCAGAATATCTTGGCACCAAAGAACCTGATAGAAGCGACGCACCCAACACCTGCTCTTTCCCATGTCCGACAAGGACTGTCCAAGCAGTTTGGGCCAAGAGTTCCAAGTGTTCCACGTTTGGGCCGGAAAAGCCTGCCGATTCCACGCAAAGGGCATGGAGAAAGTGTCTCCCGGGAGGTGGCGAAGGGTGCGCTTAGCGAGGTGTAGAAACCAACTTGAAAGCACACCCTAAGGAGCTCAACTGCACCACAATTCTAGGGGTTGATTCCCCATTATTTTCAGCCATCGTTCTTTTCAACAACCAGCT